TTATAAGTGTTTGTAATGTATCTATATAAATATAATAGTACTATCTGTTGTATGTCCATGTTTCTACTTCGCAGGATATGGATGGATCTTCACCAAAATTGGTATGGAGATTCATTAAGTCCGTGGGGAGATATTAATACATACAAATTTTCAGTTTTACATTTTGTGGTTTTTACCACTACTTCACTCCTGTGAATGGATTATTACCAAATTTGGTATGGAGATTCATAGGATCCATGGAGAGGTACCTGCAAAGTTGCGGTTTCACACATTTTTTGTTTTCCTGTTTTTCTGGGTGTTTTTGCGTTTTTTACAATTACATAGAAGGGAAGGAACTATCCTGTCCTAAGATAACCTTTCGTTAATCATGAATTTACATAACTTTCGTCCATGAGACGGGTACTCGAGCTAGTAGTAAAATAATATGTATGTATATATACTTTTTAAACAAACATTCTGTGATTTCTTATGAAAGCAAACCTCTCTTTCCTCCTTCCCTTTCATTTTTGGCAAGTACTTTGCTATTTTAAGTGTTTAAAGTTATTTGCTTTCAAGGTGGCGCTGTATATCTGTAAACGACGGGCCTCCATTGAAAAGATGGACATTTTTATACTAGGACTATTAGTACTGTTATTTAGAAATTATATAAACTGTTTAGAAGCGTAGTTATCCAGTTTTCTATTTCATACTAATACTAGAGGTAATTATGGCTACAGTAGAATATGATCTCGATACTTCAGGGGGTCTTATGCCGGTAAGTTTTATGATTTGTGTCACTGTCAGTGAATGTTTCTAAGTTACTGTTACTCTGTTAGTGTGATAGAGACGAATGAAAGAGATTGTTCTGCCACCAAAGATGGCTTCTCATTGAATTTAGGCCTAATATTGTAATATATTAACAAGAAAAGTATCATCTTTAAGATGTTATTTATGGCTTACACACAATTCAGATTTGAAAGTTCAGGTAACTTTAAAGTGTCCTTCTTAATTGTTTAGCAAATTCAAGCCTTGATAGCTCCACCACCGAATGAAGGAGAGTCTAAAAAAAAGAAAGATTACGAGCCTCGCTATCGGCGACCAGCTCGAGCAGTTAACCATGACTGTTGTGACAGTTGTAAAGAAGGAGGGGACTTGATTTGCTGTGATCGCTGTCCAGCATCTTTTCATCTTCTGTGCCAGTAAGTTTTAACATAAACCATGATTACTTAATATGTAATTATGTATGTTGCATGTTAAGTGGTAAATCATAATTTCTTGTATTGTATTTAATGTATAATATTAATTGTTTAAATTGTACTTTATGTACATAATTTAGTCTTAAAATGGCAAACTCGTTTTTGGCATTCATAGTAATGCTAATTTGGTATTATATATAGACAGGGAATATAGCTTTAAAATCAGTTGTATGAAAAATATTAGGCTGAAAATTTATGTATCAAGTATTTAGGACACTGCCAATGATAATTACAAAACCATCTGTCATGTTTAAAGGTGATTTAGAAATGTAATTTTGTGAAAGTGTTTAATATAAATGACATAACATAACCCAACCATTTATGCTATTGCCATATTCTTTGGCCTTTGCTTGCAGATGAAGTTATACTTTCTGTTGGTATGTAGTTATCATAATGTATTGTGAAACATACCCATAGACTATATTTTGACTGCAAACCCTCATTGTTATAAGCAAGAAGACATTATATATATATATTTATAATACACACTACTTACAAAAATTGAATAAAAAACAGAGAAAGATGTTTAATATTGATGAAACTTACTTATATCAAATATCATAGGTAAACAATACCATGCAAGTTAAAACATTCAGTTAAAGATAATAAAAAAGCAAAATGAACAAAAAATGCCAGTATTTGGTTGCACAAATATCAAAGCAAAAAAATTACTTACTAAGATGAAGAAACTTAACAAAATTAGTCTCATAATAGCTGGTAGGTCTCCTGTTGTTTATGACTTTACTGTACTTGTTCCTATACTAATTATAAAGTTTTGGATGACTTTCTAGGACAGCACAGTCTACTCTCGGATGGGAGAAACTGAGCTGTTGGACAGTCATAGGAGCAGCTTGTCTGTTTCTAACTGCTCTACATAGCAAGTTCTACACTTTTAATTGAATTTAGGTCCAGTGACTTAGCAGGCCATTCCAGTTACTTTTGTTTCATCTTTAAAAAGTTTGCTGTGTAATTATGATGGTGTGAGGACAAGCACTGTCCAGCTGATACATGAACTCATCTCTGACAGCACCAGCAAAAGGGTGAACAGTGAGTAGCAGGATCTTAATCATGCAATGTCTTGCTGTTAGGGATCCTCCAACCACCACATAGAGGTCTGTATGCAGATTCCATTTCAGACCATGAATGAGCCACCTCTAAAGACATAATGGTGGCCAGTGATACAGGCCAAATATGCTCTCCTTCATGTCTCCAGTCCCTTACATGTTAATCACTTGAAGATACATAAAACCTACTTTCATCTGTGAACAGTACAGGGGTTCATTGCTGAAGGGTCCCTGTGACGTGTCACTGAGCAAAAGCCAGTCAGGCTGTTCAGTGCCTTGGGGTTAGTACAGGGGCTCTAACTGGTATGCTGGATTTGAGCCCGGCCTCATGGAATCTCTTTCTGACTGTTGACATGATACACACAGTTCAGTGGCTGGCTGAAGCTCATTACCCTAGTTCTGCTGATGCAGGTTGTAAGTGTTAGATTCTACGGATATTGATCATCTACTACACATGTAGGCTTCCTGGTATATTCTCCAGTAGTCTTGTATTTGCACCACAATCTTCTGACCACAGTTTGTTACACCCCCATTACCTGTGCCACCTTAGTCTGGGTGGTTTTTTTTTTGCTGGTACTGACTTCTGAAAAGTGTGTGAAAGCTGTTAGAAACCAATTAACAGAAGGGCCATCCAAAAACCCAGAATTATCTCAACAATAAACATCTTTCCTATTCAACCAAAATTTAAACTAGCCTTTTGCTTTGCAAAATTTGAGTCATTTCACATAAAGGCCTATTACATACAGAATCATTGTTGTATTAACTTGCAAACCCTAGGTAGGATTTGTGTAATCTTGTACAATAAAAATGCTAAATTTGAAAGAAATTGATAACCTCATTATTATTTCATTTTTGTGAGTAGTGTATATATATTTATATTTTTAAGAATGTAACCTCTATGGCTGTTACTGAAATTAAAAAAAAATTAATAGAAGCAAGATTCAAATAATAATTCTGTTATTAAAATAAGTTCAAAATGTATAAGTGAAGACCATTTTGATATTGTCAAATGCAAGTTTTTTAGATAAAATTGGATTTAAAATTCTTCTGTTAAAGTTGAACATTTCAGTACACAACATGACATTATAGCCTGTAACACCAACTATATAATGATGTAATACTTTGACTGACTTGCTAAATTTTGATAATTTTAAGGTAAAAAAGTTGATGAGAGAAACATAAATGGTGGATATTACATTAGTTTGTGAACATTTTTTAGTAACCTTACAACCATGTTTTTCTTTGTGATCCAATTTTCTGAAGAAATTGAAAGTAGAAATCTGTGATACTCAAATTAAGGAAAATTATAATTTTCATTTAAATGTTTGTTACTTGTTTTAAAAAGTAACATATATAATATTTGTTAGAAAGTTAGATAAATTATTACTAGAAGAGGCTTCATTTTAGAATTTGGGATATGATTAAGGTAAAATTTCGTAGTCTTTGAAAAATTACTTTTTTTTATTGTTAATAATTTATAATTGCATATTCTGACCAAACTATGTATAATTGTTATTATGAAATAATATTATTATTATGTTATTATGATACTGATGGAACACAGAAAAGCTACATTTTAGTAAGAATAAAGTAGAGTTGTGTTGGACTAACTTTGCACCAGCTAATGTGGTTTTGAGCACCTTCAGCTCTTCTACAGACTCGTGTTTGAGTGGCTTGACCCCTGTTCTTGTAGTATATAATTCTGTGTTATTATGTTTTCTTTGACTGGTTTAATGAGTCACTTTTCAAAACAAATTTATATTAGGAGTTTTTTTTATTGTAGTAACCCACCACTGGAAGAGGAAGACTTGCCAAGAGGAGAGTGGCTTTGTCATCGTTGTAAAGTGTCTCCTTCAGAAGTAAGTGTATAGTCATTGTAATGTCTTATACTAAGCTAGTGTTTACTCATTGAAAAAGTTTCTCAGTATAACAGAGCTGGTTAGTTAGTGGACTTTGATAATCAATTAATCATTGGAGCTCATTAATCATTTACGTTCATCTAATCTATTATTCTCACATGAGGCTTGGGTAATTGGAATAATTGGAAGTACTAATTTTGATTAGTTTAATAGTTTTTGAGTTGTGAAATTAATCGATTAAGCTAAATAACAAAAATAACTGAGAAATTATAATGGCAGTATTAAGACTACTTGGATAGTTTGAATAACCAGAAATACTAATTTTCATTTACTTGATTATATCCATGATATTGTGATGGGCATTCTATACTGTGCATATCACAAGGTTTTAGTGACTT